GTTTTGATCACGCATTATGAACTATAAACAATCAGGTCAAATATGAATATTCGTTTGATTTTTATACTTGATTTATATGTGGATCCCACATTTCTCCCTTTATTATTATTATTATTTTTATTTTTAATAAAATGCTGAAGTGGTAGGTAGATGCAAGATAAAGGTAGAAAACATAGTTTAATGTTGTAAGAGAGCAAATGTAGATGATCAGGTGTGTGCCTGTAGACTATGCGCTAATCCAAGCTAGACAAGGGCACTAAAACATCCACGGATGCAGAAGCTTTCTCTCAAAACGGGGGGGTGAGGTTCTAAGCTTCACCACTGTTGTTCTCCGATTTCTCACCTGATGGGCCCCCTGCGACTGTGCCTGTCTTAGGTTGTTCCTCCCTTCAGGAATCTTACCCGTCAGACAGACCTTTTATGCCTATTTTATAGCTCAGAAAGTTGAGGCAGGGAAGAGGGAGCCTGTTGCCCACTGTACCTCAGCTCATAACCTGTAGAACCAGGTCTCTAATGTCCATGCTCTTAACATGGTCTATTCTGTCTGTGAGCACCCTGTCCTGCTTGTGAGGCTGTGTTTTGCAGTGCCAATGCCCTCAGGTCACAGTCTGAGCCTGTCTAAGTCTGTGTGTATGCATCTGGAGTCAACTCTAGTTCTATCCTTGCCTAATGATGCAGCCTGTGGCAGGGAGAAAGATGAGTCAGGAGTCTCTGGGCCTTGGGCCTATGTCAGTTTCTTTCCTGCACAGGAACTTCTCATAGGTCCTCACCTGGATTGACAAATACCTATAATCTAGCAAGGACTTGATGTGTGCCCTTGCCTGAGGCTCACAGCATCTCTCACAGCATCTCTCTTTGGTCTGCCAATCTTTCTCCTGCCTGCTGAGATCTGTAAATATTGTGACACCCTAGGGAACCCAGGTGACAGACAGCCTTCCCTTCTCCTCAGGAAGGGTGTGGCAGTCCAAAGCCAACCCAGGGCCCCCTAGTCCTAGAAGGAATGGGGTCAGGAAGTTAGGCTCCAGCAGAGTCGGACTGAAGCAGGTGGACTGACAACAAATGGTTCAAAGGACTGAAAGGAGGATGGGGGAGCAGAACTGGTTTGAGTGGTACTGGCCCCAAGGCATTCCCCAGCACAGGGCCACCCTTCCTCCTACCGTTCCCTGACTCACCCCTAAATTTCCTCTTTGGGCAACAGCTTCCAAATCTCTTCCCCATTACTTTCTCAAGAGTGCCAACAACCTGAAAATCAGCACTTGAACCATTTCCCAGATGGGAAACACTGAAGGCAGGGGTTGCCTACGGGCACACAGCGAATACCAGGCCTGAGTTGGAACGCTGGTCCAGGAGACTCGCCTTCTGGACTCTCCTCCAAGAGGGTACAGGGGCGTCCTGTAGTTTCTCTTGGGGGATATTCCATTTCCAAATCACCCCTTTTTCACAATGGATCATCCCCGTACCCACCTCCCGCAGGAAGGCAGTAGGCTAGCTCACGGGCTTCCCCACTTTTCGTGGCAGTGGGTCAGTCTGCAGAGTCCCCAGTTTGCCGCAGAATGTCTAAGGTTCCTCTGGGCTGCTGCCGGTCCCCGAGCGCTCACCTTTGGCCTTGGCTTTTCGCCACCGCTGGCGGCTGCGGCTCTTGAACTCATCTTTGGTCCTCTTCGAGGCCGGGGCCCCAAGGGCCCCAGCGGGACCAGCTCCCCTGGCCAACTCCATCAATTATCCGCGGTCCCTGAGCTGGGGCCCATTTCAGCTTCCAGGCCACACTCGGAGGGCCAATCCTTACAGCACGCCACTGCCGTGCCCCCATACCACCCAATCCCGGGCTCGCTCTTGTCTGAGTCCTGCCCCTTGAGCAATCCAGACCTTACTCCACAGCTTGACTCCGCCCCCAATCGCTAATTCCTAAGGCATGGTCATGCCCCCTCTCGCATTAAAGGGCCCGCGACCAGCAAAAATGCAGCCCCGGAGGCGGCGAAAAGCGTCCTTCGGGCAGGTCTAGAAGGGAGTCTCGCGGGGGTCCCGCCATCAGGGAAGCCTCGACATTTTTGTGTTGCCTCTCGGTTTCGCCTCCCCACTCACCTTCCCACGTAGGGATCCCCTAGAACGTGACCCGGCCCACTCGCTGGCGGGGAAGCGCGGGGCACCGCTGAGCCTCCTCCTGGGGCGGGGTTGGGGGGATAAGGGGCGGGCGAGGACCTCGGTCACTTCAAAGCCAAGGCGGGGTGCCACCACTGGAGGCGTGGCTCTGCCTGCCAGCCGTTAGAAGAGAAAGCCCCGCCTTCTCCCCTTCCCCTGTCTCCTATTTCTCCAATTGCTCTTTCTCGGGGTTCTTTTCCCAGCCCTCTCCCTCCCCGCAAGAAAGGAAAGGAAGTGGGAAAGAGACCGCTTGGCGCCTGCGCACTAGCCCCAAGTGGGCGGTGCGCCGCGGGAAGCGGTGGTTTTGGGAGCCACGCGTGCCTAGGAAAAGGCGGGAAACAGGAGGCTCGAGGCTCGCGCATGCGCGCACACTCAGCTGCCTCTCCCGTCGGTCGAGGGGAGGCGGCCCTGTCTGCCGCGGCCGTGTGGTGAGGACTTACTTTGATACTGGGTTCTAGGGGTCTAGGGAAACAGCTCTTCTTCCTCAGCGCCAGAAACGCAACCCTCAAAGCCTCTTTTCAACCTGCCCCTCTTCCCCGCCGTCCCAAAGCATGCCAACAGCCTGTAGAGACACCAGTTACCCTCTTAGCCCTGAGAGAGACGGGCCAGCGTTTCTGGGAGGGGCAGGCCTCTGTGCTGAGACCACCATTGTCGGCCCTTTGGACTAGCCTGGCCCTACGGGCACCCCCAGCTTCTGGGTTGGGGCCGCACTGTTTCCCCTGGGGCGCAACAAGTGACCCCTCTTCTCATGGATAAAGCTTGCGTGCCCTCCCTCCTGAAGGGCTGGGCCTCCCAGCCTGCTCCCCCAGCTCGGCCTCCAGCCAGCCTGACCTTAAGGGACCTCTGGCGGACCCCATGATCCCAGGCTCCGCCTTCCTGAGAACACAACCCTCAAGGCCGTCAGGCCCGGCCGGACTGGGACTCCCCTTGGCGGGCCGCCTGGTAGAGCAAGGGTCTGCCTGCCCGCGGATGGCCCACCTGGAGAGCTCAAGAATGCTCACGCCCCGATTCTCGGCCTAGTGGGGATGGAACTTCACGAAGGTAAGGGCCCACATTCAGCATTGTGTCGCTGTTGCCCACAGCAGTGTCCACCACAGAGCTGTGCTCAGAGAGTTTGGGGACAGGTGGATGAATACCGTCGGGAGGGCAGCTTCCCCGGTTCCCGGCCCCTCGCCCACAGCCCTTCCGCACTTGTGTTTGATATCCCCCAGACCCTCCGTGGAGAGGCAGCCTGCTGCAGGGGAAGATGCCAGACCCTGCCTCCCCTCCTGGCTTTGCCACTTGCTAACTAGCCTGCGTCCTGCAGGATCCTTTTCATCTCTGCCTCAGCTTCCTCATCTATCAGGTGGGGGCTGCTGATCTTTGTCAGGCTGGACTGTTGTGAGAACACCTGTGCTAACCGACGTGCTGGCAGTTCTTAGTCTTGACTAAGACTGAGTGAATGGCTGTCCCTGGGAGGTTACCGTTCCTCCAGGCTTAAACTCACCTGTGTCCCGGTGGGGTCTCTGATTCGGGCTGCTGTTGTTTTTCCCGTGTGCCGATGGCCCACCATATTCTGACACCACTTCATAGCCAGGTTTCTCCTTGGAGGCCAACTTCATTCCTGGGGCTACTGTTCTACCCGTCATGGCTGGCGAATGTGCCTCTAATGGAGACCCCAAATCTGATTCTAAGTCAGAATCTGAGGCTGGGTGCTCTAAGTATAGGTCGTGCAGTTTTGATAGAAATACCCTCTCAGCCAAATATCCTTGCTGGGGTTTGGCTTCCTGGGCTGAAGAGGTTTTCTGGGCAGCAGGGTCTGAGTGTTTCAGTCTCTCTTGAGATGTAGAGTCAGTCTGGGCAGGTGGTCTATTTTTGGGTCCAGGTCTAGGCTGGGCTGGAGGTGTTGATCCAGCTTCTTGTTGAGCTGCAGGTGGCTCTACTGGGCCAGGTCCCCACTGGGTTACATATCTCTCTCTCAATTCTGGTTCCTGTTGTGTTTTAGATTCACTGCCTGGCACAGGTCCCTGCTGTGAGGCAGCTTCTTGTTGAGTGAAGGACACCCGGTAGATGGGAGGTGATTGCTGTGGTGCAGGTTCCTGTGAGGCAAGAAGTTCCTGCTGCAAAGCAGATTTTCGTTGGGCTCTAGGTTCTTGCTGGGATCCAGCTTCATGTTGGGCAACGGGCTCCTGCTGAGGGAGGGGCCTTTGCTGTAAAACAGGCTCCTGTTGGGTATTGGGTCCCTGCTGAGTCTTAGCTGCTATCTGGGCTGTGGGTGTCTGTCCTGGCTCAGGCTCTGGCTGGGTGATAGGTGTCTGGTGTAGCTCAGGTTGCCAGTCAGGCCCAGATACTGACTCAGAACCTGTCTTCACTGTTATTTGCCTCATGAGAGAAGTTGATCTCCGAGGCTTCATTCTTCTGGACCCCACCCACTGGCCTCCTTTGTTATAGATACTTCATTGATTCCTCATAATGAAGGTTCCAGTTTGGGTTCCATTCCTCATTATAGCATCCCTGGTCTTCCTTTTTAAGTCAGTTGGTAAGTGGGCCTACCACTGCTGACCCCCTACTCCTGTGCCAAAAGATGCACTTCTCTGCCCCCTGCTGTGGGAGGAGGGATTAGGAACAGGAGGAGGCTGTGTGCCCATCACTCTCTTACCAGAGGGGAGGGGCTTGCCCTCTTACGTCATAAACAGGACTGTGCTCCACTCACCACTCAGTTAAAATGTTTTTTCTCATAAAATAATCCCAATTTAGTCTTGTTTCATCTGGGATTATAGAAACCAGATTCTGGATAAGTGTCCCTTTTTTTTCCTCCCCATCTAGTGTTTGAGGAAAAGGGTTATATGGGGAGGCAGCCTTTATACTGTTGAAATAATCTTTTCCTCTTTATTCATTCTTTCAAATGGTTGTCAGTTTAATTTCCTTATATTATTGCTTTGGTCATTTCATTTCCATCTTAAAAAAATGACATCATCCCATTTTTACAGTTTGAATCCCTTTTCACTGGCTTTTGAGATTTTTCATACCATCTCTCTAGCCCTGAAATACGGTTGTGCATATACGTCTTTTGTACTAGATTGGAAATTTACAGTATATTGACCATTGATGATGATGATGATGCTAAATAAATACTAAAGGTGTACTATGTCCTGGAAAACTGCTAGTTGTTTTTTTTCAACCTATATTATCTTTAATATGACCATGTCTGGTTCATTGCTATTCCTGCTTTCCTTGCCCGACCTAGCTCATACCTCAGAAGGGTTTGCTGAATGACTTAAAGAATAAAAAGTTGGGAGTGGAGAGAGACAGTGAGAGTCGTGGTGGGAGAAGGGTGTGTAGCATTTGGATAGAATTTGGAATGAACAGGGTAAAGTGTGTCATTTGGATTGAATATGAGTTACCAGACCCCATTTGAAAGAAATGATTTTTACCTATTACATTTAAAAACAATTATTGACTTCGGATTGCTGCTTGCCTGATTGTATTTAAGATAGTTGGGAACGGCCAGGAAACGGGTTTCCTGGTTCTCAGGTAATTAAGCTCAAGCCTGGGTGAAGGGAAGGCATAAGCAAAGACACAAAAGAAGAAAGCACAGAGGGAGGAATAATCTTGGGTAAAAAAAATGTTTTTGAGAAGCTGGAGTGGGAACTGGGAGGGAGAGCTTGAGGTGGGAGGGGAGCATCCTCTAGGTGTGCTCACTGCCTTCTTGACTGCGAATGTTTCATTGAGGGGGTAAGCTCTCACTTCTATATAGGCAGAGCAAAGCTTGCTAGCTGACATCGTTTGAGAAATTGCTGGCAGGCTCTGGAGTGCTTGTTTGGCTTCCTGTGGTACCTTTGGTGCCCTAAGTTGAAGACAAGGGGAGAGACTAGTGTTAGAAACATTTTTAAAATTTGATTTTTATGAGAATTTTTAAAATTATTAAAGTAAGACTCATTCAGTGGAAAAAATTAAAATAAAATATATATCCAGTGAAAAGTAAAAGGATGTCCCTCACACCAGCTTCATTCCCCATTCCCCAGAGTAACTGCTATTAATAGTTTGCTACATAGTCTTTTGTATCTTTTTGTATGTAAACTAATAGTTTCCTTTAAAAACAAAAATGAGATTAAACTATCCATATTGTTTTGCTTTGCACCTTTAACATAAATCTTTTATTATTGCAAAATACTATACATCTATAGAAGTCCATAAAAACTTGTATGTACAGTTCAGTAAATAGTTATAAAGCAGATATCCATGAAACTACAGCCCAGGCCTAGAAGTAGAATATTGCCAGCAATCCCTTCATCTTATGATTACTTTTCTACCTCTCTCCCTCATAGAGGTAATCCTTTTATGATAAACATTTACTTTCTTTTCTTTATTTTACCACTTACTTATATATTCCTAAACTATTTATTTATTTATTTTTATTACGGTATCATTGATATACAGACTTATGCTAAGGTTTCACATGAGCAACATTGTGGTTACTAGACTCCCCCTATTATCAAGTCCCTACCACACACCCCATTACAGTCACTGTCCATCAGCATAGTAAAATGTTATAGAGTCACTACTTGTCTTCTCTGTGCTATATACTTCCTTCCCTGTGCCCCCACTATATTATGTGTGCTAATCTTAATACCCCTTAATCCCCTTATCCCTCTCTTCCCACCCACCCTCCCCTAGTTTATTTTTGTCTTTTTTGAATTTTATGTATATGAAATCATACCATAGCTATTTTCTCAAGTCTTGTTTTTTTTACTCAATGTTATGTTTGTAAGATCCATTTACATTATGTGTTTGATCATTTTTACTGATATATAATATATGAGTCTATTCATTTATTTATTAATTATTTATTCACCATTTATTCATTGGTCAGTTTTCAGTTTGGGGTTGTTATGAGCTACTATGAAATTCTTGTACATGTCTCCTGGTTTATATAAGCATGCATTCCTTTTGCATATCTACCTGAGAGTTGAGTTGCTTGGTTACAGAGCTTAAACTTTAGTAGATAACTGCCAGCACTTTTCCAAAGTGATCTACCAAGTTATACTCCCAATAGCAGGATGTGAGAGTTTCTCTGTCCTACTCTTTGCCAATACTTGCTTTGTCAGACTTGAACATTTTGCCAGTCTGATGATATATGGTGATATCTGCTTGGTTTTAATTTTCATCTTCCCAATTACTACTAAGGCTGAGTGCCATTTCATATGTTTGTTAGCTATTTAGATTTCCTTGTCTCTGAAAGTGCCTATTCATGTCTTTTGTCTATTTGTTGTATTGCCTATTTCGTTTAATTGACCTTTATATATTTTGAACATTAATCCTTTGTCATTTTTGTATGTTGCAGATATCTACTACTTTTATATTGCCATTTTATTCTTTGGATGACTGGAATTTCTTAATTTCAATTAAATCAGATTTATTAAGCTTTCCTTTTATGGCTTATACTTTATATATCTTGTTTAAGAAATCATTTCCTACCCCAAGGTTATGAGTGTATTCTCCTATATTACCTTATAAATTTGTCTTTTGAATTTAGATCTTTAATTCACCTGACATTTTTTTTTGTGGAGAGTGAAACATTTGTCTCTACATCTTTTTTTTCACTTAATATATTGTGGATATCTTTCTGGTCAACACATAATGGTTTACCTCATTATTTTTGACAACTGCAGCATTGCCCCATTTGCTTTTGGTGAACATTTTAAATTTCCATTTGTCAGTACAAATACTTCTATAATTAATATTCTTGTGCACATATCATTGAGTTTCTGTATTAGTGTTCTATGCTAGAGATTTCTTCAAGTGAAATTACTGGATCTGAAGGTACACGCATTTAAAGGTTTAGCAGGTACTACCAAATTGTATTTTACTTCCATCAATAGTGGTAAGGATCTTTATTTATCCCGTTCTTGAATTTAGCATTTACCAATTTATTTTTTAGATGATATTTGAAAGCTGCTAGACTAGAAAGGAATCAAATTCTGTTTGACACTGACACTGGTGTCATCCTCAGAGATCAATGACCAGGTCTACAATTGCCCCATGTCCCTCTCTTTTAAGCAATAGGGATATAAAATCTAAGAATTTGGTTGAATCTTTCTAGTATTAGGAAAATTGCATTCTGCTTTTTTTCTTCTTCCTGATTCCCTATAAGTTGACACTGAGTAGAAAGGGCTGAGATGTGTTTATCATGGTGTTTATTTCACCTTTCTTGTGTGTTCCCAACTTCTGCTTCATCCCTACTTGATTTTACAAAGTGACTCTAGTTTAAGGAAGATCATTATTTTGAAACTTACTAGTTTTCTTCATGTTGCTTTTGATATGATCACAGGGACACTTCTTCTTTGGCAGCCCAGGCACTGTCATGAGCTTTCTTTTAGGGGCTCTCAGGAACCAATCTGAAATAACAGGGTCGCTACTTAGATGGCAGGGTTAATATGTTTGAGAGTAGGGAGTAAGGCAGGGCTTTACTTGCCATCTTCCTTGCTTTCTACTTACTTTTTCATTCTGCAGTGGATATATTCACTTATATGAGCACCAGGACTTCTAAGTTATTTTGCCTGACCTGTATTGGCAAGAATTTCAGGGTAGGTTTGGAGGAGGCATCGGGATATCATTAGGGAGACCAAAAAATGAAGAATAAGACCTAGGTGTCTGCCATTTAGTGGCTGCTTCACCTGGGGCAAACCATTTTGCCTCTCTGATTTCTGTCTAACTTGTGAGTAAAATAAAGTTGAGAATAAGATCCTGGAAGCTTTTGGAAGGCAGTCTTGGGTTCTTAGGGAAAAAGGTAAGGAGGAGGGGGAATCCAGAGACACAGCCAGTTCTCCCCCTGACCTTGGAGGAGTCTAGGTCTTGCCTGAGACTCAGGAAGAAGATAAGTGTTGGTGCTGCATGTAGTGAGCTAGTGGAGGGGGAATGGGTGGTGTTGGCTAGGAAACATCTGCCGTGGTTTCAGGGGGGACTCAGGGAGAGAGTTGGGATTGTGATAGTGCATTGCTGTTGTTGATACTGAGTTACTGACCTTTGCATTCACATTCTTGGCCATCTTCCTGGAGCCACCTCCCAGAAACCTGGCGTTGGTCCCTATGGCTTCTGGCCACCGCTGTCAGAAGGAAACAGATTACTTCCAGGCATTGGAAAGAGAAGGGGCCAACAGAAATGGTCCCCCAGTATTGTGCTCTCTAGGTCAACACAGTTCCATTTCTCTTCCTTTTTTACTCAGGGATGTAGGGTACTTCAAGAGAGGAGTATTTTAAATGAATAAGGAATTGAGATTTAAAATCTGGTATAGCTGGAGGTAGGTGAAGAAAGAAAGGCTTTTGGATGGAAGAGAGGACAGAAAGTAGGGATTAATTAAGACTTTACAACACTCCTCCCCCACTTCCAAAATACACATTAAAATCCTCATGACTTAAGAAATGAGAGCAAGGAGCAGATAATTTCATAAATCGGGCAGGATCTTTGTGTGACTTTCAAGTTTGCTGTATTTGAATCCATAATCCTAGTTCAACCATAAAGGGTGGTATTTACCTTTGTTCCACTAGAACAAATCTGTTCCTCTTTTGGCCTCTATTCAACTTTGTCTTATCACCTGAGGCTGTCTTTTTTTCATTTTGTGATACCTAAAATATTTTCATGATAATCAAGGATGATGATTTATAGGCTTGAGATCTTGGAGCTAGAACTGGGCCCAGAAGATGCTTCCTCTCTGTAGTACTTCCTGATATTTCTTCTCAGAATTAATTATGCCTTCACATGGTTCCCCATAGAATTTAAATGCAGCTCTATTACTGTACAGTTATATTTTTTGCAGTTATATTGTTTGAAATCTTTTGCAGACTGAATTGTGCCTCCCCAAAATTTGTGTTGAAGCCTTAACCTCCAGTACCTTAGAATGACTATTTTTGGAGATAGGGCCTTTAAAGAGGTGACTGAGTTAAAATGAAGCTGTTATGGTGAGCCCTAATCCAATGTGACTGCAGTCCTTAGAAGAGAAGAGATTTGGACACCCAAAGAGACACCAGGGATGTATGTGCACAGAGGAGGGACCATGTGAAGCAAGAAGGCAGCCATCTACAAGCCAAGAGAGAGGCCTCAGAAGAAACCAAACTTACTGACATCTTGATCTTGGACTTTCAGCCTCCAGAACTATGAGAAAATAAATTTCTGTTGTTTAAACCATCCAGTCTGTGGTATTTTGTTACAGCACCCCTAGCAGACTGAAAATATTTTCCCCCCACTAGATTCTGAACAAATAGCTCAGAAGGCACTCAGCTAAGTTGTTCTTGACACATGGTAGGCATTTGGCAAATGTTTGTTCAATAAGCGGACAGACAAGTCACTTAGAGAGGGCCCTTAGAGATCGTTTAGTTCAATCCAGGTCTCCTCTTTCCCGGACTGGTGCCCTTTCTGCCACACAGATGGAGGGTGTTGCATCATTTCCCCAAGTGCTAGTTTCCAAATGTTCTCATGTACTGTTTTGAGTACTGTTAAAGTAATCAAACAAGAGATACATAGCCCCTGCCATCTAAACTTTTCTAATATTTCACTCTCACCTGACCTCTACTCAGACTTCCAGAGAAAACCACAGAATATGAGAGCTAGAAGGAATCTTGGGGATTATTTAATTGAATCTTTTCATTGGGAAGTTTATTTCATTATAAAGGTAATATAACTGTATTAGAGAAAATTTGGAAAGTACAAAGAAATCTTATTCTTCCCAGCTGTGGGTATTTTGGTGTGTTTCCTGCTTGTTATTTATTTATTTTTTTTTGAGAGGGCATCTCTCATATTTATTGATCAAATGGTTGTTAACAACAATAAAATTCTGTATAGGGGAGTCAATGCTCAATGTACAATCATTAATCCACCCCAAGCCTAATTTTTGTCAGTCTCCAATCTTCTGAAGCATAACGAACAAGTTCTTACATGGAGAACAAATTCTTACATAGTGAATAAGTTACATGGTGAACAGTACAAGGGCAGTCATCACAGAAACTTTCGGTTTTGATCATGCTTTATGAA